TAACACACGTCACTCCAAGAAAGGAAACAACCAAAACAAGCAAAGCAACTAGGGCCGCATAGATTCAGACCTCCATACCACCCTGAGATCTAGACTCTGGAACCTACGCTCGAACATGCGACACATGACTCAACCCGAATCGTGGCATCAGAAAATCATCTGGCTGCGTGTATGGTTCAGGGTTTAAGGTGCAGAGCAGTCATGCATGGAAGGACTTTTTTAGACTGCCAAACCCACCAAGTGCTTTCCACACTCCATTGCAGTCTACACTGAATTGTCAGTCACTCGTAGTCCCGGTATACTAATACAAACTAACTACAACGCACTCCAAACATCCCCAAACCCCTACTGTAGTCGAGAAGGCCCCCGGATGTTGATTGCCCTTGCTCCCGGGTGTCGCGCCCCTGCTGCTTCCCGACCTAGGCGCTTGCTCTTGCCGGCTAGGGCAGGGCAGGGTCTGCGCTTGAGGGTTTAGGGTTTAGGGTTTAGGGGTTAAGGTTTGGGGTTTAGGGTCTCGGTTGGGTATATAAAAAAAACTCATCGACTGTTACTGACGGGGTGCAGTACCTAAGGTCTCGGGCTTAAGGCGTTTTCGGTTTATAGGGCTTAGGTCCTAGGTTCTTCGAAGTTCACGCGGCTTCAGTCGTTTTGCCAACAACCCGATAAGGCTCGCGCCCCGCACAGAATGCAAAGGGCCGCCGATGGATCGGCCAGTTTCACATGAGCTCGATGAAGGACTTGACGCAAGGTTTCAGAATGGTAATAGATAGTATTATTCTTTCCTTGTCCTGGTAGATTCAGTTAACTTCCTAACAAGAACACAAAACCCTCAACCCTAAACCCTAAACCCTGAATGCTTGTTCTTTCCTTATCCTGGTAGATTCAGTTAACTTCCTAACAAGAAGACAAAACCCTCAACCCTAGACCCTAGACCCTAAACCCTGAACCCTAAACCCTAAACCCAAAACCCTAAACCCCAAACCCTGAACCCTGGGAGGAGTCTGCTTACTCGCAGAAGCTTCAAGGCCTGAGCCTGGTACACTGAGCAACTGAAGGTAGGGCCCGACAAGTTGATATGGGGGTTTCCAAAAATAGGGGACCCTAATATAGTACCCTATTTACTATTTAGTAGGATCCTTATAAACTAGGGTACCGTACCTTATTTTGGGGTCCTTATAATAAGGATCCTACTAATTAGGGTGCTATATTAGGGTCCCCTATTTTTGGAAACTCCCATATGATTATCCCAGGATTCCTAGTACTTGAGGCTTGGGGGCTGAGTACCCTAGCCCAGCAAAAGGTTAAGCCTTCAATTATGGTAGGACCTGCTAGGATTCTTGAGGATTATTGAAACCATAACTCAAAACCCTAAACCCCAAACACGGTATGTCTTAACGGCTACCTACTCAGCTACCGAGAGTGTCTCTGCTAGTACAAATACCCCGGAAGCGACTCGAAGCTTCCACAGGACTCGCAAGGGCTGACGGGGTTTAGGGCTTAGGGTACAGGGTTTAGGGTATAAGGTATAGGGTTTAGGGCTTAGGGTTTAGGGATCGCCAACTAGCCTTTCCTGGAGCAATGTGGCAGTTCCCAAGGACACCGAAACCCCTGAGCCAAAAAATAGTCTTAAACTAGAAGGGGATACTAATTGCACACTCACTAAACTGCATTGTATAATTAAGGGGGGCTTCAAGTCCTCGAAGAACCTTCGAATCTTAAGGGAATTCTTGAAAAGCGCCCTGTTCACCACTAATTACGGTACAATACTGTTCAATCCTAAACTTTCCTAAACCCTAAACCGCAAAACCAAAACCCTAGACCTTCTCTGAACGGGACCGCTTCTCCGAGCACCGGGCGCGTCGGTGATCGCGCTCCTTTCATGCATCCACGAGTCCCAGTGGCTGGGACGGTTCAGAAGTTTAGGGTTTAAGTGTTTAGGGCAAGCTTAGTGCGAGGTTGAATGTCGAGGGCAGAAGCCGGTTGGTTCCGTTCTTTGTGGTGCAAATGCTGCAGGTACACAGTTCCCCTGTCTTCAATTCAAAACGCTCAAGCCGATCTGATCAATCCAAGGAGATGTGACCTGAGCCCAAAGCCCAAAGTCATCCAGGTCTACTAGTCTACTGCGAGACCGAACACCATACACCCAAAAACGGAAACCCCAATACGGTGCTGCCTTCGCCTCCTCCAGGCGTCGCAGGTGAGCCTGCGAAGCTCTAAGCTTCAATCTCATATTCAATACAACGCAGCACAGACCTGCTAAGATCTTGCAAGGCTTTAATGTAAGGGCTCAATACAGAGGTATGAACGGTTCCTCACGGCGTCCACCGATAGTCCGGTATAAGCTTTCCAGATGTACCCAAGACTGCACTGTGGTTATTCCAGGTTCCCCAGTGTCTCCTTAATGATGAGGGCACCCTTCTTCCTGATATTTGATTTTAGTAAGGGGGCCCTACAATGAAAAAGGGCACAAGGGTACTATTGAGACGCCCACTACACGGCCTAAATAATTACCAATACTATTCTGGGCTCCTTACCATCATAATTATAGTATAACGAGACCCCAAAACCCTATTCTATCCATTAAGGCCCCTATACTATAGTGCCCTTATAGATCCCTTGTAGACCCCTTTAAAGGAGCTCTTGACAGGAACCCGATTCTATCTATTAAGGCCCCTAGATTATAGTACTCTTATAGACCGTTTAAAGGAGCCCTTGACAGGAACCCGATTCTATCTATTAAGGCCCCTATGTAAATCCCTTATAAACCGCTTTAAAGGAGCCCTTGGAAGGAAGCCGATCCCCGATTCTATTAAGGCCCCTATATTAGGTTCGGGCCCCTGAGCAGTCTTCGCGGCAACTCGGCTTAGCTCCACATGGGGAGTTTCCGAAATTCAGGGGGTTACCTTAGGGCTCCTTTCACTTTTAAAGGGATCTTTTAAGGGTTCCTTAAAGGGATCTATAAGGCTTCTATAAAGGGCTTAGGGTTTCCAAAGAATAGGGGGGTACTTTACTTTGGGGTCCTTATAATAAGGATCCTATTATTTAGGGTGCGATACTGGGATCCCCCTATTTTCGGAAACTCCCACAGGCCATCACAGACACGATTTCAGGCTTCGACTCGAAACCCATCATCTAAATTACCACAGGGATCCTTATTCTGATGTAACATTGATTCACTAAACCCTAAACCCGAAACCCTAAAATAAACCCTAAACTTAACTAAGAGGCGTTGGAGTCTTTAATCTGATGTAACATTTACCCCTAGAACCCCAGAGTCGTTCCTTCTTAGGGTTCTATATTTAGAATCCTATAAGGCAATCCCAAAACGGAACTAGTCTGGGGCCTGTGGGTATATTCCTTAACTAAGAAGTGTTGGAGTCCCCGAAGTCCGGAAACCCTTTATACCGGCCCTGTACCCCTACCTTAAGCCGGAATAACCTACCCTTTTTAGGGTTCCGTATTATGATTTCCTTATATAAATCCTTAAAAAAGTAGGTTATTACGGCTTAAGGTAAAGCCTAAACCCCTACACGCTAAACCCTAAATGGAAGGCGGACGAGCAAGACCTGACTCTTACGAATGCCCGAACTAGCTACCTATAGTCTCCATTGTAGTTCCTTTTTTGGTCAACCAAACTTATTTTAATTATAAGTCTGTGAAGTTCAGTGCTGACGCTTGCGTACCGAAGGCTTTAGAAGCTCAAAAGAAGGCACTCCGTTTTACGAGGGTCATGAGCCCAACGCTGGACCCGTAAGTGGCCGTAAGACGTTGTCATGGAGGCCTCCGCGGCAGACGATCAAGGCGAGACCCAGGCGACTGTGGACAGTGGCTCCAGGCCGCAAGTGTTCGAGGAGTCGAGGCATCGCCTGGAAGTGAGAGTGGACGACGCCGTGGAGGATCCGAGCTATGATACTCCGGGATCACAGAGAGCTCAGCAGGATGAGGTTCAGCACGGAAGCCAGGGAAGCCATGTTGGTCCGGCGGATTTACCGTCTGGATCAACCGCTGGCGGGCAGCGGCCTGTACCTGCTGAGCTGGACGTGATTTCCCCCGCAACAACCGTGGAGAGTGCTGTTGGGCAAGCGCATCCTGGGAGGCAGGTGTCTCCTGAGCAGAGAAGGGAGGATGTTGGCCAGATTTCTCGGTCACTGCAGTACATGACTGGATTGTTGACAAGCTTGGTGACTCGGGTGGATCGAGTCGAGCAGAGACAATCAGTGAGTGGCTCGGTGGCCCCTCAAAGTACGGATGAAGGATCGCAACCTACACCTTCGGCGGCCACGCCGGCTGGACACCCGAGCTGGGATGAGGTGGATCATCTGGGAAGAAGGGTGGCTGGAATGGCGCTGAGTGGAGATGTGGCTACTATGCTTGGTGAGCAGCCACCGGGTTTCGAAGGTGATGGCCGGCACTTTCAGCAGTGACAGCAGCGGCACTGCTCGACTTCGTGCGGAAGAGGCTAGCAGAGGGATTTCTGGGGCTTTGTTGGGGCCGCTCGCTGGGGCTAATGTCCCACTAGCTCATACTAGCTCTGGATGGTCTGCCGATGGGGACCGATTGGACGGGGTTTATGGAGGTAGAGAAATGGCCTCTCGGAGCTTCCAAGTGTCCCTACTACCAGACCTCAGCAGGCATCGGAGCTTCCAAGTGTCCCTACTACCAGACCTCAGCAGGCATCGGAGCTTCCAAGTGTCTCTACTACCAGACCTCAGCAGGCATCGGAGCTTCCAAGTGTCCCTACTACCAGACCTCTGCAGGCATCGGAGCTTTCAGGTTCATCTACTACCAGACCTTGGCAGGCATCGGAGCTTCAGAGTATGTCCGGGTCGTTGCCGTGTGCTGAGTCGTGGAATATGCCTCGGGTGCCAGTGTTTGGGAGTGCAGGTTATCCGCATGGAAGTTCTCTAGGGTGGCTGTGCGATCAAAGTGGATATGCGCCGGATCCAGTGTGGCCACAGGCTAGCGGGTCTCCCGCGTCAGTGTCGGCCTTGCCACCTCAGATGGAGCCGGATCTGGGCAACGTGGGCGGAGGACCTGCGATAGGCGCTCCAGCCTCTGGTCACGTTATGGTGGATGGAGTTTGGAGGGAGTACCGCATGTTTCGCGGTCAGATGGTTGTCCAACCGCTACCGAGCAGCAGTGTTGGTGGGCCAGCCCAGGGAGCACAGAATTTTGGAGGAGGCCCATCTAGTCCTATCCCGCCTCCACCTCCACCGAATCCTCCTTCTACGCCAAAGGCAGCTTCGGTGTCATGGAATGCCAATTTGACTCCGGGCGGCACGCCCATCCCACCGCCTCCGCCGACTACCCCGCTGACTTCCTCTACTACCACGAGCACAGGTTTTACCACGAGCACAGGTTTTGGAGAAGATGTTGAGGAGCCTTCCAAGTTGGTGGTCAAGCTCCCGCCTCTTCAGACAGCAAAAGGGGGCGATGCAGCAGTGGTGGCGGGCGATTGGTTGGCGCAACTGGAACCAAGTATGAGTTCGTTGTCCCCAACGGCGGCGAGATGGTGGTCCGAGCTCATGGAAAGGGTCAAGGGGCTTTATGGTTTGTGGTTGGAAAGCGCACCGGTGGCAAGACTTACCATCCGGCAACAAGTTCTCTGTCGGCGACCGCCTCCTGATCGACACCATCGCATTGAGCAAAGGGCGGCCATGCTTCTACTGGATGCTCTTCCGGAGGAGCTTCGTCATGAAGCAATCAGTGCCCGCGCAGTGACGGCGGAGTCCATGGTGTTCATGGTTCACTGTGCTTACCAGCCAGGCGGTGCCGGAGAAAAGGCGCATTTGCTCCAGTTCCTTACTGGACCGGAGACCGGGAATGGCCTCGAGAATACGCTCAACTTAGCGCGGAAGTGGATCCGCCTGTTTCGTCGAGGCCGAGAGCTGCAAGTGGTTTTGCCAGATCCGAGTTTGCTTGGAAGAGGGCTAGACAAGTTGGTCAGTGCCACGTTCTCTAGCAACAAGTATCTCTCGGCAGCCTTCAGGATTGCGTCGTTCAAGCTGGAGCGGCAGCTGGACTACCGAGCAACTGCGGCAGACATCGAGGACTATGCCTACCTCATCCTTGGGGAGCTGGAGGCTGCACAGCTTGCGCAGCCTTTGCCTTCGCATCCCAAAGTGGCACGCCTTGATGAGCAGGCTGGCGGGGACGAGGTACCCGACAAGGGCAAGGGCAAGGCAAAGGGCAAGCGTGCTTGTTGGAGTTGGCAGGACGGCACGGGCTGTCGTTTTGGAAGCAACTGTGTGTTTGCTCACGCCCCGCTTGGCCCTGGACGTTGCTGGGAGTGTGGAGCAGATTCGCACTTGAAGCCACAGTGCCCGTTGCTCGGGCAAGGGGGGAAGGCTTCCAGTGGCGGCGGTGGAGCGGCCGGTGTTGGAAAGGGCAGTGGTGGAGCTGCGCAAGGAGCGGGGTGCGACTTCGGCGGCTACAGCAGGAACAGCTGGAGCGACGGAGGACAAGCCCTCCAAGAAGACGAAGCGAAAAGGAGGTGGAAAGGACCGAGCCCAGAAGGAGGCGCTGAGGAAGAGCGAGGAGCAGGCCTCTGTTGCGGAAAATGCTCAGTCGCAGCCTTCAGCCTCCAATGGTGGCGAGGATACGTCGGCAAGGACCGAGTTCTTTGAGGAGGCGACCAAGGCGCTTAAGTCTCTTCGGCTGGCCAAGATTACACTGAAGGCGCTGCAGGATTCGTCGGGATGCGTGGGAAGAGCTTTGGTGGACTCTGGAGCTACCACGTCGATGAGGACAGCGCGTCGAGGAGAAGTCAATGGTCTTCCTTTGAGAAAGGTCTTGCTGGCGGAAGGCGAAACCACCTTCTACCAGCTCCCAGGGGGAACTTTGCTTACGAGCAAGGCGGTGACTCCCATTGTGGCCATGAACGACTTGATGGAGGTTGGATGCCGTGTGACTTGGTGCAGCAGTGATGGCTGCAGTGTGGTCCACCCTGTGAAGGGTGATCTTGGGGCGCGAGTTGTGAATGGGTGCCCGGAGGTCGATGAGGCTGTGGGCTTGGAGCTCATCGAGGAAGCGGAGGGCATCAAGTTGAGGCGACGCGAGGCGGAGATTGCGGTGAATCGCCTTGTGGAAAGCTGTGAGCTACCTCGACTCGGGGGGAGAAAGTTGGACTGGGAGATGGGCGCCAAGGCGGTGAAGGATCTTCGCAATGGTGTGGGTCTGTCCTGGGCCTGGCTTCATCAGACCTTCCCGGAGGCGCCGTCGTGGTTGATCTCGGCGATTCCAGTTGTTGCCGAGATGGATGGTGATCGTGTGCCATGGAATCGTCGTGAGAGGAAGCGCTGGAGAAAGGCATCTACTTTGGCGGTGCATTTGTTCTGCGGGAAGGATCGCTCTACCTGGAGGTCGAGTGCGGAGGCGGCTCATGTGATCACTGTGGACCAGGCGGAGGATGTGATGGCGGATGCTACGTTCGCTGCGCTGCTAGAGGTGGCGATGTCTGGAAAGCTGCGCGTTGTGTTCGGTGGACCTCCTTGCAGGACGTTCTCGGCTCTCCGCAACAAGGTGGGCGAGCTTGGCGAAGGCCCTAGACCTCTTCGTGATCGCGACGGTGACGGCCGGTGGGGCCGCGACGGTTTGAGTGAATGGGAGACCTGGAGAGTGCGCCAGGACACCATCATGATTTTCAGGTTCATCTTTCTGTGGATGGTAGCCGCGGTGTCCGCCAGAGCCAATGGGGAAAGCGACCCAGATTTCATCTTTGAGCACCCGGAGGACCCGAAGCTTTCCCTAAACGAGCCCTCCTATGTTTCGCTGTGGGCCTTTCCGGAGATCCAGTTCTTGAAAGATGTGATGAAGTGGTTCTGGTGGGAGTTTGATCAAGGTCCCCTAGGCCATCCCCGTCGCAAGCCAACGAGGATTCTGGCCTCGATGCCCTGTCCTCGCGAACTTCGGGAAGTGCGTGGACCTTCTACAGTGTCGTCCGAGGAGTGTGATCATGATGGGAGCGGGTTTCGGTCTTCTACTTGGGCGGCTTGGGCACCTGGTTTGAAGCAGGCAGTGAAGCGCAAGATCGAGGAGAGTCTAGCCGGTGCTACGCTGGAAAAGATCATGAAGGTTGATCAGGACTTCCTGGAGCATCTTCGTCGGGATCACACCCCGTACCGAAGAGATTGCAAAGCTTGCTTGGCCGGCTCCTTTCGTGGACACTCCCATCGTCGCATTGTTGCTCCCGAGGCGTGGTGTTTGAGTTTGGATGTGATCGGCCCCACCCGAAAAGGTGTAGACGAGTACCAGAAGAAGGTCCGGTACGGCTTGATTGGCACGCTGGTTGTTCCAGACATGTTGGGGAAGATCCTTCAGCCACCTGATGCCGATGGTGAGGATGATGGTGGCGGCGCCGGTGCCATTTATGACCCGGTGATTGACGAGGACCACTATGCGGATGATGAGGCCGAGGTCCCCGACGATGCGGAGGAATCCCGCAGCGAGCGGGAAATGGTTAAGTGGTTGGCCAGGGTGGACAAGGACCGCTTAGAGGGCGTCTCTTGCGTGGAGATTCCGTTCTTTGTGCCGCTACCGTCAAAGTCAGCAGCGGATGTGTTGTCCGGGATGAAGGACATTTTGGTCCAGGTGAAGAAGCTCGGCTTGACGGTGCAGAGGATCCACTCCGATCGTGGACGTGAGTTCACGAACAAGGGGTTTCGAGCGCTGTGCCGAGACCGGGGCATCGTTCGGACAACTACGGTTGGGGATGACTTCCGCCAGAACGGTCGTGTTGAAGCTTTGGTGGGAAGAGCAAAGAACGCTACCCGCACCTACTTGTCCTCTGCGGGTTTGAGCTCTGAGTTTTGGTGCTTCGCAATGAGACATTATGTGTCCAGGATTCAGAGTGCGGTTGTGGCAAAGATGGGTGGTCGCTTCCCTCGACTACCTCCTTTTGGCACAAAGGTCTTTGTCAAGCAGCGGTCTTGGAGACTCAACAAGGAGTTCGTGGAGAAAGTGGTCGCGGCTCGGATCCTTTGCCCCTCCTTGGATGTTGCTCGAGGATTCTTGGTGAGGACCGACGATGGCCACTACCTCACCACCATGGTGGCTGTTGAGCGTCAAGGAGGTGTCTGGTGAGTTTGAGGTGGATGCCCCTCCAAGCCATGCCGATGAGCCCGGAGTTCGAAGGAGGATGCGCGGGAAGACTGCGATTGCTAGTGCGGAGCTTGGTGATGAAGGTTTGGACAAGTTGGCAACAATGGAAGATGAGCATCTCATTCAGGATGAGGAGCTTGCGGCGACCTTCTTGGAGGCTGCAGACTTTTCTATCGAGGCGGTGGAGGAGTTGCTGGAGAGCCTTTGGTTGGGAGAGCAGCTGTCGCCCAATCGCAGACGGGCGGTGTTTCAAGAAGCCTCCTCGGTGTCAGTGCAAGTTCTTGGGATGTATCGTCATGGAGGTGTTGTGGGAGCCACGATGTTGGCGCGAGCGCGGCCCATCTTGACCCAGTTCTTGGTGGAGGCTCTGAAGCGCCAGTTCGGCTCTAGTACCACCTTTACCACCATCTCTATCAACTACAACACCCCCATGCAGTGCCAGCGCGACTTCAACAACCAGTCGGGGCAGCCGGCCTACTTGATCGGATGTGGAAATTATGTGGGTGGAGCCCTGTGGTGCCATCAGCCTGGCATGGACGTTCGCGACAATGTGGATTGGCACAAGGTTGAGGGCAAGTGGTTACCAGGCCGTCGCCACCCTACCTACCACAAGCCGGTTGTGTTCGACCCCTGTGAGCTTCACCAGCCTCTTCCCTGGCAGGGTACTCGGATCACCCTGACGGCCTACACAGCTGGATGCGCAGGGAATTGCAATTTGCCACACCAAGCCCTTCTACGTGACCTTGGCTTCCCGCTGCCACCGCAGTTGGCTCAGGCTTCGCCTGAGGGGGGAGCTGGCGTTGGCGTTTGTTCGTTGGCCGCTGATGACTTGGGACCGGGGGAGAATTTGAAGGTGAAGTCTGATGCTGGATGTGGTGTTTTTCAGTTGTGTGGCTTGGAACCGGGGGAGAATGTAAAGGTGAAGTCCGATGCTGGATGTGGTGTTTTTCAGTGTCGATGTAAAGGATGGGAGGTGGATCCGTCGCTATGTGTGCGCAGGCTACCGGGTGAAGGCCTTCCTCCTCAAGAGCCTCAGCACTTCTTCATCGGGGAAGAGGACGACATAGAGGCCCTGTCGGATGAGTGGCAAGGCGAGTCCTGGGGAGCCTATGGTCCTCCTTCGGTGGCGTCGTTGAAAGCCGTGGACGACAAGGACGATGCGAGCTACGAGCTAGTTGCGGCGGAGCATCCACTTGAAGTGAGTTGGGAGCTGCTCGAGGGCTACTTTGATGAACTTCGCTGTGTGTTGGCGGAGGAAGAGAACCTCGAGCGGGCCTTGGTGGATGAAGCAGAGCACGATCGTGGGTCTTTGGATCATGTGCAGACTTGCAAGCTTCGCCGGCCGGAGATTGAATCGGAGCTCGAGAAGTGGAGGAGGCTAGACCACCTCACGGGAAGTGATCGCTTGTGCTCGGTTGAGGATGTTGCAGATGGTGGTGATGAGGCTCCTCTTCACACCAAGACGATCCCCAATGAGGTGGTGCGCAAGGAGGTGGCCAGGTGGGTTCCCAGTATGGTCTCTGAGTATGAGTCCTTGGTTCGTGAAAATGAAGCAGTGGAGCCGTTTCCAGAGGAGACCCTGGAGCAGTGGAAGAAAGAAGGCCGGGAGTTCGACCTGGTACCCGGAAAAACGGTGCACACCATCAAGGCGTTCACTGGGAGATTGAAGTCGAGGGCGGTGATTTGCGGCAACTTCCTGGGACAGACGTTCTCAAAGGAGCAGAAGTATGCAGCCGGAGCGGACAGTGTGCTCATTCGCATCCTGCTACGGGTTGTGGCTTTGATGTCCTGGAGCCTATGTGTGATGGACGTTCGCACCGCCTTCTTACTGGCCCCGCTACTCTTCCAAGAAGACCGACCTACCCTGGTTCAGGTGCCGAAGATGTTTCTCCTGGGCGGGGTTTGCAAGGAAACCATATGGAGAGTCAAGAGGGCATTGTATGGAATGGTGACTTCTCCTCGGTCTTGGGAAGTGTACCGAAACAAGACCATGGCCCAGATGAAAGGCACTCTTCCTGAAGGACCAGTTCGGTTCGTGCCCTCGGAGATCGATGGAAGCCTCTGGTACATTCTGGTGGGCGAGCGGCGCGCGGGCGCCATCATTTGCTATGTGGATGACCTCTTGATTGCCGGAGAGCCGGACGTGGCAAAGGAAGCATCCCAAATGATCGCTCGGACCTGGAAATGTACAGAGCCTCAGTGGGATAATGTGACCTTCAATGGCTTTGAGATCCGTCGTACAGATGAGGGCCTCGTGCTGGGCCAGGACGCCTACACCAAGGACCTTTTGGAGCGCTACCGAGACCTTGAAGGGTTCGAGGAGGTCCCCGCGCCCACGCAGTTGAATGCGGAAGACTTCGCGCTGAAGCCTGAGGAGTGCGCCGCGGACTTCATCCGCACGGCTCAGACCATGGCGGGCGAGTTGCAATGGTTAGCTGGCCGGTGTCGGCCAGAGATCCTCTACGCGGTGAACCTGTTGTCCCAGGCGATCAGTAAGAACCCCAAGGAGGCTGTGTACCGAGGTGGGCACCTGATAAAGTACCTCAAGCGCTTTCCGGAGGCGGGCATCTTCTATTCAAGTAAGCCGCAGGTGACCCCGGACGCTCAGGTGTCTTCGGCCAGTGCAGTGATTGAAGGCTTCTCGGATGCCAGCTTTGCTCCGAATTCGGGGCGCAGCCAGCAGGCAGTGATGCTGTTTGTCACGGGGGGCCTTGTGGCTTGGTCCAGCCATCGACAGGCTTTTGTGACCATGAGCACGGCTGAGAGCGAGCTTGTGGCGATCTGTGAGCTCACCATGTGCATGCGTTCGATTGAGGAGCTCGTTGCAGAGGTCATGCTCCTGTCAAAGAGCCGTGTGTGTGACGTGATCAAGGCCATCTACACCGATAGCCAGGCGGCCCTTTCGGTGTGCCGGTCGGCAGCTGGAAGCTGGAGGACTCGGCATCTCAGAATCAGAGGAAGCTTGGTTCGCGAGCTACTGGAGCTTCCTGATTGGGTGGCCCATCATGTGGAGGGCCGCATCATGTTGGCGGACCTAGGGACCAAAGCCCTAGCAGCAGATCGCTTTGCTTTGCTTGTGGACCGGATGCGAGTGCAGCGAAAGCGGTGTGGAGAGGTCAAAAAGGCTGCTCTAGCTCCACACGTGAAGCGTCTGCTGACCCTCCTGTGTCTTACAGCGCTTGTTGAGCGCAGCGAGGCTGCCGAGATGGAGTCCCAGGAGTCTTTCGACTACATGTTCGCTGGGATGTGTGCTGTGGCAATTATTGCGGTGTGGGAGTGCATCAGGATGCTCGGCGCTTGGATCAAGTGCTGTGGAAGTACGCGGGTGAGTCGACGGGCAGAGAGGTCGAGGGATTCCCGGGCGCCCGCGGGCACCGCGGAGTCCCGAGACTCAACCTCACCTGAAGATTCCCCGTTGGAACCCACGGGGCTGCGATCCCGCCGACGGCCTCCTACTTCGCCAATCCCGGCATCTCCTGAGACAGTGCGGGGCGAGGTTCGAACGACTACTACTCGGACTCACCGTTTGAGACCGACTACACCGCCGGTTCCCCGATGGACCCGGATCAATGTCAACGACTTCGTACCACCTGGAGGGAAGAGAGACTTTTGGGAGGTAGATGAGACGCGCCGAGTTGCGATTCGGCACCATCCTACTTCGCGGCTCAACTTGTTTGTGCCAGGACAAGCTGCTGGGGGCCCTCCGCTGAATCAGTTCACCGGAGAGCGACGAACCATCGGCTACTTCCAAGGGGGAAGAGTTATCGAGCACATCGACAACTTCGGCGAGATGAGCAAGCCGGCTCAGTTGCTGGCGAACAAGGAATGGAAAGGACGGACTGAGCTGCTGCTGACGCAGTAGCCATGAGAAGTGTTGTACGAAAGCCTTGAGTCTATGATCTAGGCAGTGGAGCTGCCTGCTGATCCTACTGTAAAGTTGAAGGATCCCTTGCGACTTTTGTGCAGGCCCCTCCAAAGTAGATTCGGCCATGGGCCGAAGGGGGAGTCTGTGAAGTTCAGTGCTGACGCTTGCGTACCGAAGGCTTTAGAAGCTCAAAAGAAGGCACTCCGTTTTACGAGATAAGATTCCAACCGTACCCATAAGATTGGTTAACGACAAACGGAACTTCAATGGAGACTATAATGACTATAGGTAAAGTACAGCGGCAGTTGCCTACAGGTGAGCCTGTCCTAACCTTGCTGGAATACCGAGCCAACCTCGAAGCCGAGAACAAGGACGGAATCACGCCAAAGACCGTCGCCCTGTATGGGGCCACCATACGCGACCTGATATTCTATGCTTACTCGATACAGGCCGGGTACCGTGAATGCAGCGATTCCGAGCAACTCACGGACCAGGAAGACGCTACAAGAAAACGAAACCCGCGATGTCGCGACACGTCGACGCGGCGCACGTCCCTACGTCTGAAGGCGGTGCGAACTGAGAGCAACGCAAGCGGCCGCGAAACACAAATAATATAGACGCGCCTTAAGAATTACCTACACTATTTTGGGGGGTCCCCTATTATAATTGGAATATGCCGGGCCCCAAAACCCTATTCTAAGTATTAAGGCCCCTATATTATAGCATCCTTATAGATCCCTAATTAGACCCCTTTAAAGGAGCCCTTTAAGAGAAGCCTATTCTAAGTATGAAGGCCCCTATACTACGCAAGCAGAGCCGACACAAAAGGCGACGACGGCGACAAGAGCAGGGAAGAAGGCGATCTTGGATCACCCGGGTCACCAGCAGAGCAGCGGCAGCAGTAGAAGCAACCCTAAAGCCTAACCAACCTCATAATGCATAGGGGCCCATTTTACTATAGTTATAATAAATTTAAGGAACCCCAAGATAAGAGAGGTAATCATTCAGGCCCCTACAATCGGAGCCCGTAGAGCACTTGGGGGCATTTGGGCTTCAGGATTTGTCGTAAACCTTAGACCCTAAACCCACAAGCCCACATAGCCTTGAGCAGCTTCTC